CACCTCCACACTCAACGCCACGTGCTACCCACAGGCTCCACCGTGCAGGGGGGCAGTGCTATAAACCTCCCAGGTGCAGTGCATCCTGGGGAAACTTGCTTTGTATTGTGAAACAAATTTGTAAGCCGAGGCATTATTTTCAATGGATTTATATTTGTAAACCGAAAATGATGTTAACAGAGGCGTTTGTAAACCGAAGTCCCACTGTACAAACTTAAATTTTTTTGTTTTTAATATATATTTTTTTAATTTAAATTATTTATTTTAGTTATGCATAGATTATACAGGTATGCTTGCAATGCCACAACAGCTGGTGCAGGCTTTTCAATAGACATAGAGAAACATTTGTATGGCACACTAACATTGCACATTTTAAAATACAGGTTTATAGGAACAAGCTATGTCTAAAGAGGTTATGATAAGTAATGGAAAACCACTGAGATAAGAATCATTTTAACATTGCTACACATAGCACTAAAGTGTAAAACAAAAAACACTTGGTAAGCAAATGAGCAGTAAATCATAGATAGCCCGTGTCGTGGTAATGAGTTGCAGTGTGATTACTGCTAGGTCACCAAGTGTTCACAGGTGGCCCACCTATCTGCTCCTCACCAGCCCAGCGCCGAAGCACGGTCCAACCCGGCCACCCCACACAGCTTTTGTCGAGCCGCATACAGGACCTGATTCCGATGTCTTCAACCAGGCATCTACATGTTACGATGGTTAAGCGCCATCTTCGTGTGTGAGCATAGTATATGGGGACCTCTCTTGCTTGTCCGTGGCCCAGGCTTATAGTGGCTCACAGGAATACCAGACCTCCAGCGACGATGCTGTTTTTGAAGCATCTGCCTCCGCGTTCTCACTGCCGGCACTGCGTTAGGGTCTCGCCCACCATGTCTCAGCTGAAATTTGCCTTGTTGCAGGAAAGCATGGAGCTTGCCTAGGTGACAGACCACTGCATTCTGTGGTGGGTTCTAACATGTGAGGTAGGGGTATGGGAGCGGACGGCTATGCGGGTGCAGAAATCTCTGCACACCTTTTAGAATCTATCCTTGAAATGCTGCCTCCAGTCTAGGCTCTTCAGGCTGGCTTGTTGCAGTGAGGGCCTTGGTACAGCAGCCATTTTAGACCTGCCTCTCAGTCCTAGGCACTGTGTAATCCAGGCTATTCAGGTCGTTAGTGTGTCCAGTGGGGACTGGGATAACTGAACTGGTCCAAAGGGGCCACAGGGCCAGAAAACAGAATAAAGTGACAAAAGCACAAATTTTAGGAACCTCAGTGTCCCTGTCGATAAAGGTGTCTGTTAGGCTGCTTTTGGAGTCTTCTGACACTATTTTAGTGATTGTAGTAGCTTTAAAGGTTAGCAAAAAAAGGGGGTCGCCATTATACTGGCAGGAGCTCCCAGAAAACACATCTGGTCAGCTTGCGAGTCAGGCTTTGCCCCCATTTTAGTATATTTTAAATCTGATGTGTGTTAAAAATCTTTACCTGGAATTTATATACCTGTGAGCTTAACTTCTCTGGCTGGGAACCTAGCTGAAGGGTTAATAAGGGATAATTTTCAGCAATTTATTGAGAAGAACTTTGTTATAAAAATCAGCATGGTTTTATGATACATAGGCCATGTCAAACTAACTTAATTGCATTTTATGAAGAAGTGGAAGTATAGATCAGGGTGTTGCAGCGCATTTGATCTTCTTAGATATTGGCAAGGCATTCGATACAGTTCCACATAATAGGTTAGTGTTCAAACTAAAAGAAATTGGCCTTGATATAAATTCGTCGTCTGGATGGTATAATTATCAAGCTGAACAAAATTCATAATAAGTTGTGTCCCTCAGGGGTCTGTTCTGGGGCCACTTCTATTGAACATATTTATTTTCATGAAATATTTATAATCTTGAAATAAGCATTGAAAGTCATCTTTCAGTATATGCAGATGACATAAATCTGGAAAGTAATATAATGTGAACAGGACACTACTTTGCTGCAGATCGATTGGAATAGATTGTAGGACTGGAAACTCAAATGGCAGATGAAATTGAATGTAGATAAATTAACATTTATGCACTTCAGGGTTAAGACTGCATAAGAAACTTACACCCTAAATGGTAGTGTATTAAGAATAACAATAAATGAGAAGGATTTAGTAATTGCTATAGACAACAAACTAGACAATCATGTGCAATGTCAATCAGCAGTTGCTAAGACCAGTATGGTATTGCCATGTATAAAAAGGGGCATTAATTATCAGGTTGAGAATATTATTCTGCCTCTTTCTAAATTAATAGTAAGACCACATTAAACAAGCTGTGCAATTTTGAGCACCTGTTCTAAAGAAATATACTATGGCACTAGAAAAAGTGTGGAGACTGGATACAAAGTTAATAAAATGAATGGAA